ATAACCAATGTGAAACGGGAACATTTCTTAAGTCATCCCCAACTTCCTACCACTTTTTCCGGAGTCCGAGAGTTTTCCTACTTCTACCCAAAAATTTTGCTGTCGAGGAAATGGGGTAGTAACAAACTTCTTCCAAACGCACATACGACCCCCCCCCTCTCCCCCAACGACCAAATACGACCCCCTCCCCAGCGGGAAAGTACGATCTCCCTATGCGTTTCACACAACGATGCTGTACCCTGTTGGAGAGGTGGAATGAGCCCATTGCGGTTGCGTCTTCTGAACATAGTGGTCTAGATTCAGTGAAAAAACAACCGTGGAAGAAAACGGGGCGGGTGGGTCCACTCCACTAGTGACGACGCAATATTAATTCGTCAAAAGACGTACCGGGGCAAAGCAGCGCGATGTGGGAAATTTTTGCTGAGTGCGCCGACAGATTGGGGTCAGCACACCTGATCATCAACAAAAAGAAATGGTAAAGTTACTGACTAGGGAGTTATACAGCGCGCGTGGACAGGGAAAAAAGCATTTGAAGAATCTGAGGCTAAACATGACCTTGCTTCCTCTCCAGCAACCAAACACAGCATCCATTGGGAATTTCCCAACGGTGTAGTGCTCCAGGGCGCGCATCGAGAACTCAAGCCTTCTACCCTCTATGAGAGGTAACTTGGTACCGGACTTCTCTGGGCAAGTAAATACACACACTTGGCTGGCCCTCCCAAGGCATTCCATAGGCCACATTGCAGAAAGCGTGCTGCATGCCGAATTGATCTATGTTGGAGGAGTTATCCTTTACTCCTTCCTTACATTTGTCTCACTGTTCCACTACAAGTACACATGGAAAGTGATGGTTCTTTTAGGGAATCAGGTACGGTGTCGAAAACTGTGAAAGCTCCTGACAATGTTGGCAAGTGGATTATCTCATCTTCGTTTTGGAACCCTGGACAAACGGGTTTCTGCGACGCTAACAGTGTTGAAGTTACTTCCAAAAAGGACGTTTTCATGGAGGTCAGCTTACTGGCTTACCTTTTCTTACTTTTCTCTTTGAATACACATCTCGCGATAACAAACAGACAGACATTTACAAGTGCTAGACCATCATCCATGGTGTTCCTCAGTTTTAATACAGTGAAGAGAAAGGGCGCAATACTGAGAAAGGCGCAGTGCTTGTGAAACTCCACCCATTTAATTATCATGGAATGTGCGTTTGTGGCCCCTGTAAATTTGACTACTTGAGTAGGAATCTTTGTAGCGTATATGTGGTGGCGACACGAGGAATTACTGGGAATGAGGGAC